ACTAGAGTGACCGTTTCCGTGACGTATTTCCCGTGACGCTGACCCCTATATCCAACGCGATATTCAACGGGCGTGCCCCAACCGGTATATACGATCCTCTCCATCATATTCTTGAAAGGCGAAGACTGGAGCTGCAAGCTGAGGAGGACGAAAGAGCCCAGTCCGCCGCTGATGCTGATTCTGGTCCGAAGGGCGTACCATTCCTCATCAAAGCTGATGTCTCGGGTTCTGTTGAGGCCCTGGTCAACTCTGTTTCTGCGCTCGGCAACAGCGAAGTATACGCACGCATTTTGCGGTCTGGTGTAGGCCCGATAAGTGAATTTGATATCCAACATGCTGCTGTTGCGAAGGGCCACATCATCACTTTCAACATGCCTGTGGATCCATCAATGGCTCGAATGGCAGAGGCAGAAGGGGTCAAGATCATGAACCACAACATCATTTATGAGTTAATTGATGATGTCAAGTCGAAACTTAGCGATCATCTTTTACCCACAATCACTCAACATGTCACTGGAGAGGCGGAGATAGGTCAGATTTTCGAAATATCAGGCAAAGGCCGCACGAAGATTGCCATTGCGGGTTCCAGGGTTCGGAACGGCCTAATTAGCCGCTCGCATAAAGCCCGTATCCTTCGTGACAAAGAAGTCATCTATGACGGTGAGTATAGTTGTTTTACAACTGCCATTACCTCTCTCTCTCTCTCTCTTTTCATTCTCTTCATTGTTCATTTCCCTTTTACCTTTCCGGTGGCCCTAGGAATACGCAATTGATATGTCTGGTGCTGACGTCTTTTTAAACTAGGTATAATCACCTCTCTCAAGAACGTGAAGAAGGACGTCACAGAGATGCGGAAGGGTACTGAATGTGGCATCGCATTTGATAATTGGAACGACTTTAGAGTCGGTGACCACGTCCAATGTTACGAAGAAAAGTCCGAAAAGCGAATGCTATGATATACAAAGGAAAGAAAAATTAATGGTCGTTTTATTCGTTGATAATTGTTACGTGTTCCACCTGGGTTCGAATCCTTTGGATTTTTTCTTTCCCAATACTCACCCTTTGTACCATATCCAACTTCATATTTCTTTCGATTTTTGTCTTATATGCACCGGATACTATCGGTTATACGTTCAAGGAGTTATACTCACCTTTCATCGGCCGATGCATTTGCGTCCTCAAAATTATCCACACACTTTTCCACGCGTAAACTGTCGGTACACCGATCCAGCTCCCCTCTCTAACCTTGGTCTCGTTTTGTCATTCCCGGACTCTCACCAAAATAGGCTGGCCAGTTTCCATTTCCATTCCATCGCGTTGCTTTTCATGTATGGTTCATAGTGGAAAATTGGGCATATGTTTTCGCTACTCTTAAGTTGGCGGGGAAGGTTGATATATGTTAATGGTGATAGATGGGTTGATCCCCTGGATAGATGTTCATAGGTTTCTTTAGAGTTGAATAAAGAAAAGCAAAACATTTTTGCGAATTCTGGATATCCGGAGCATCTCTTTCATACATAAATGTTTCTTTCTATTTTGATAGGAGAAGATACAAGGATAAAGAATTTCCAACGAATGTAAAATTACTGCAACTTAACTGCTCAACGGATATAACACAAGGAGCTTGTTCTTGGAAGTATCTCGGGTCATTAGCCTGTTGGGCCAAAAATAAAAAATGAAACAAAACGAGGCATTTGACTGGCTGTTTGAAATGTCAATTGTTTGCGTTGCGCAGTGAAAATAAAAGTCCCTGACAAGCAAAACAAGCATAAAGAGACATAGAAAGTAGAAGAAAATCATTGAAGCTCTAATAAAACACACATTTTTAGAAACTACGCGAAACCATATGCATACAACGCAGCTTTACATCCGCTCTAAGGGTGATTGCCCTTCCCTTTGCCTTTTCCCTTCCCCATTCCCGGTGGTGTAGCTGTTGTTTTATAAGCTTTAGTTTGCCGTGGCACCTACGTAATTTTGCGAAGATGTAACTAGTGTTAACAGCGCGGGCATCCTCACGGATTTTGCATGATAGTTTATTCATCAGGGAGATTAAAACGCACGCTTTTTTGCTTTCCCCCTTTACCTTTTTTGCTCGCTATCTGACTATTCTTTAGAACTCCCGCCGGAGTGGAGGTTTCAGAGGTTTTGAATCCTTCTTGTAAAGGAGATGGTGTCCTTTCATCGGCAAATTCGGCAGGCTCTTCTTTGTCTATAGGAATATCACTTTTCTGTTCATCTGGTTCGACGATGTCGGCCAACTTCTTTAATTCTCCCTCTGCAGCCGGGCATAGTTTCTTCTTTGCAGGAGCGCGGCTCTTGCGAACACCGGCTGGCTGCTTTCCTCCAGTCTTGGTTGCTCTCTGTTTAGTTGGTTTTGTTGATGTGACAGCAGGAGCATCTGGCGTTTGGATTTCTAAAATTGGTGCGTCGATCTCTGAGGATGTCTCAAGATCCGATAGGCTTGGGAATCCTAGCCCAGAGTTTAAAGGAGAGGATTCTCGAGATGATGATGATGACGATGAAGAAGCTGATGGTGATGGCGATATCAGCGTCTCAGCAAGAGACATATCGGGCTCAATACGTTTAATAGAATCTTTATGAAGGTTATGTAGGTCCTGCTGACCTAGCCAATATATGTCAAACGTATTGCTATGGACGACCTTCAAATTGTCAGCGATAATTGAGAAAAATTCAGCAGAGGGGGATGTAGTTGTGTCTCCATCCCCGTATCGCCCAATCGATACGTAAGTCCATAGGAAACATCCACTTTTTCAATCTCTTCTAAAATTTGCATTTCGATTTTTGCTCGCCGTATCTTGTCAGTTCTCTCGTCTGCGACATAGCTGGAGATGACACGATTGGCATGCGAAAGGTAGACTTTAATGAACAAGATGTTCTAAATTCGGAGAAGGTATACCTCTTGGTTATCTTTCTGAAGTATGAGAGAACGGGTGATAGGTGATAGGCCTGGGGGAAATGCATCAACTCACGTAATTTCCTCCCATTTTGTGAAGATCGTAAGGTTCAAATAAATTACTTATCGTTTAAGAAGTTTTTCCACAGGCGATCCACCCGGTATTCACACCGAAGCGGATGTTCCAGAGGGTATATAGATGAACGACAATCTGCCAGCTGCGATGCGATAGCCGTTGATGAGCCACTGAGTTGGGTTTGAACGAGCAGACAAATGGCCACGAGGCAAGGTATAGAGGAGACAGTGTGGTGTTAAAAGCGGATTGCAAGATGACAAAGGAAGAAAGATGAGAGCAATGGAAGAATATGAAGATGTGAAGAGTAGAGGAGAAATAAACTAACATCCAGTGAATTCAATGCTTCACCCATCTAGGAGTTGAAATGAGCAGCTAAACTCTATTAAAGGGAACACAGGTGGTTAAAAACACAGCAAGCCAATCAGTGTTAGTCACTCCTAGATACCATTGACAGATTGAAGTAACAATGACTGATATTCAAAAGATGCCAGGGAGCTAAATGAGGACCAAAAAGTGATTGCAGTCATTCATCCACATACAACACTAAGTGCCATCATTTGTTAATAGAGATTTAATATCTGCTGATTTTAGTGAAAAAGGGCAAAGAATAGGGAGTGAAGTTGCAGCAACCTCTTCAGCTCAATTCAGGGAATAACAAACAAGATGTGGGTCACCCCTTAAACAGGACATCCAAATGAGGGTCACCTTTCTAAAATCAAGGTGTTGTATGTTGGGGAAGAAGGGCTCATATAGAAAATATGGTCATATGGCCAAGAAAACCTAACCAAAAAGAAGAAAGAGAAAAAGAAGGAGAAAGAGAAGGAGAAAGAGAAAGAAAACCCCAAAGCACAGTTGGGGGTAACAAGTAAATATATCACAGGCCTTTTTATGAAACCCAGAGTGATAATCTTCATAAAAGCAAAATATAGCAATAGATAAATGGAATTTCATTGCTCATTTTGCTTTCCACCGGATTCTTGCAACCCAGTTTGCCCAGTTCTGGACATCCTCCCTTTGCAAAATCAGCTCAACAGTATACCACTCCTTTGCTAGCTCTTCATTAGAAGCCATTTTATGAACAAAGGAATGGCAAGCCCTGCAAAGCCAAGCGACACTATTTAGCATCCATTCCTCATGCCACTTCCTTTTGAGCATTTTGGCATGTACCTCCCGTGGTATCAGATGGTGGTATGTCAGTGGGATCCAATCGCGTTCACATATTTCGCAAGATGTGGCCCGCGTACTGGACCATTTCGGAGGACCGGTCTGCACAGCTGAGATGTATCCAGTAAGGATTGGATTCAAGAATGTTGGGAAATCAGAAGGATCTGGTATAAGGCCATATACAGAGAGTGATTCAGAGACTGATAACGGCACGGTGGCGGTTAAGCTGTCGAGCGTTGGACGCGGTAGTGGTTCAGCGTATTTATCTGCAAGCCCTCCGCTGCCTTGAAGCGCGGAATAAGAGAGAGATTGTACTTCCTCTGGCAGGGAGCTGAATGCTTCTCCAGCAATATACTAGGTTGGCCGGTTAAACGTGGGTACTAGTAGACCAAGGCACTTTGGAAGATGGGCTCATACATCGATGAATTCTGCTAGCTCTTCTGGGCCATAGGTCTCAGGCTCAGCCAGCGGAGGCTTCTCTGAGTTATCTGGCTGTGAAGAAGCTTTCCTTTTCCGCCGCAAGGGAGACTTTGAAGGGCTGTCGGTTGATCTGTGAATGAGCGCCTGGGAGACGTACTCTCGGAAGGTTTCATAATTGGGATTATGCACGGCAACATTATCGTTCATTGACGGGTATTTTAGACAAAATAAACTGAATCCTGAGAGGTAAAATTTTATTCTGCTTCGCTTGCAGTTGTTGTTTAGGCGGGCAGCGGAGAGAGTCTTATCATTTATTGCTGAAGACGGCTGGAAGTTTGTTGTTCCCTCCGCATTCATGCATGTCATCAACCAGCGTCGTGCTGCTTCAACATCAACACACTGCCGAATAGAGCATGATATTTACGTATTGAACTGCGACCTGGTGAAATATGACTTCACCAAAAAGAACCGTGCTTGCGTTTGATCTTTACGGCACGTTACTATCTACAGAGTCCATTGCAGAGAAATTGGCCGAGTACTTGGCGTTGAAAGAGGACAGAGCATCGCGGGTCTCTGGCGGCGGTATCAGCTCGAATACACTTGGAGGCTAAATAGCATGGGTATTTACTCTCGTGTTGAATCTTGCATGACGATGATTGATGGAATGAGACTTATGCTTACGCACGTTTCTAGGACTGTATAAATCATTCTCAGAAGTGACGAGGAACTCATTGCAACATGCGCTGGCTGAGCATCAGGTAGATCTGGACCAAGGCTCCACACAAAGGCTTATGGAGGGCTACGATTGCCTATCTGCCTTTCCAGACATCTCGTCTTGTCTTTTGAGGTTGGCACACAATCCCAGCTTGATGCCAGTAGTGTTTTCCAACGGAACAATTTCCATGATCTCAAATTCAGTCCTACGGTCTAGAGACTTATCACCCTACGCCAGCATATTCCGCGATATTATCTCCGTCGATCCTGTCAAGAAATTCAAACCGGCGCCAGAGACGTACTGGCATCTAGCCGATACAGCTGGCAAGGACAGGTCGCAAATGGACGAAATGTGGCTTATTAGCAGCAACCCGTTTGACGTAATGGGGGCGGTTAATGTAGGAATGAAGACGGCATGGGTTGATCGGACAGGGTTGGGATGGATTGATTCGATGAGCGGAGAAATAAGGCCATTGGTGGTAGCCAGAGATCTCAATGAAGCTGTGCGGGCAATTGAGAGCCGCGAATATTAATTAAAAGGGAAAACTCTTTGAGCAATATAAATATGGGTGCAAAACAATGGCTTCTGCGTATCTTTGTTACAGCCAACAGAAGGATTATTGTAACTACTAGAGGGAATGTATCGCCGCACATATTTCCAAATTGCTCCATGGAGTAAGGTTGAACATTCGGGGTAAGTCACCAGCGTTCTCCATTATATTCCCTCCAATTTCCCCTCCGCCAATCCATGTAGAAGGAAGACAGAGTGAATATGAAGGGGTGAGTTTTATGTTGGGGAGAGAAAGAATTTGCGCTGGTGCAGATTTCCTTTTGTGGTCGAATTCGGAGGGCTGATTACATAAATAACGTGTCATCGCCATGTTGGTCACGTTTTAGTACCGATCTAAACTCAAACCCGATGACGCTAGGCTATAAGAGGCAATTTCCGTCTGGGCACATTCCGTTATTTCCAACGTCATAGTTAACCCTAACCTCGGAACATTGAAGACACCATCAACCACCTTTACAGGGGAAATATAGAGAGGAGCGTCATGGACAGCTCACTCATGACTTAACGCTGAAAGTAAAGAGAAAGCACTATATGCGCGCCTATCGGGATGGTTTCGCTCTTTAGCCTGAGCCAGGCATCTTGGCTCTATCCTTTACGAGTAAGCATCATCACCATCCAACCTAGTTATCCAAGCCTAAGACAGCTTACAACTTCTACTTCCAAGCAGGGCATAATATTCTTCATCTGCCACCCTTTCCTATGGCCACTATTCCGCGCTCGTCTATTCTCCATTTCTCTCCTCTCCGCATTCATTTATACCATCCTATTCACCCTCACCTACCTCCCACAAGTTGCATTTCTCGCCATCTTCCAAGGCACTGGCGCCTGGGTGAATGGGCTATTCCTCGTCCTGGGAGAAGGTGCCGCGATTGTCCAAATCCTTTTCGAGGCCTTCTTCGTCGATGAAACTCTCGTTGATGTCTTCGATGCCGTCCTGATAAGTCAGGGTGAGGAGGACCTTGTTGCTACCTCGCGGACCATTCATCCACGCGCCGACCAAAGTCAAGGTGGAGACGGTGATGGTGACGGGAACGGCAACGGGGATGCTGCTCTGTCGCTAAATCCAACACAAAGGCTGGGTAAGCCGATTACGAGTGCCATATATGCGCCTTTCTCTCTCCGGCAGATTGTAGAATTTATCGTGCTGCTACCGCTTAACTTAGTCCCCGTGGCCGGGACACCGATGTTTCTGATCCTAACAGGTTATCGGGCGGGCCCCTTGCAACATTGGAGGTATTTTGAATTTAGGGGATTTAATAAGAATGAAAGGAAGAAGTTTGTGGCGAAAAGGAGGGTCAGATATACCTGGTTAGTTTCCGGTCGGAATTCTAATGCTCCAACCAACACCTTGTCTCTTTTATACTGGCTTCTGCCTTGTACACCTACCTACCTTGGTAGGTATGCATGGCTTTCCTATGCATGATTCCTTTATGTCCGGGAGCCAGTGTTCCTTAGTCCCCATTCCATTATTGGACATACGCGACGATTTTTTTTTTTTTTTTTTTTTTTTTTTTTTTTTTTGGGGCTTTCTGGCTTCCTTTTTGGCCTATGATTTTATCACTCACAATTACTTTCAATATTCGACATTTATAGGTTCGGAACAGTTGCATTAATCCTGCAACTGGTACCCATGCTCTCCATGTTCTTCCTCCTCACCACCGCCGTTGGTTCAGCTCTGTGGGCTACCGATTTCGAGAGGCGTCGACGAATTGCCATCGAGCGCTCAGAGGCAGGGCGTCACAGTGGATATCGCACTCTTGTATAGTCCAACATCCACACACATCATCTTACCTTCCTCTCCATTTCTTCTCTTTCAGGTTTCATTTTTTATCCCTGGTGTTTCGGTTTCGGTAGACTTGGAGGAATCCTTATTGGACTTGATAATATGATCATTTACAGTGACCATCTAGCGTGATACTTATACATTGGTTATTTTTTGTGTATGTTTTCTTTTGTTTGCTTATTTCTTACGAACCGCGCTATACGGATAGACTATGAGCGTTATGTGCTTCCTTTGCTTTCCCTTACATATGATCTCTTTCGATATAATTAAAGACAGATATGATATGAAAGACTATAACCAGTGCTTTAGGATATTGCACTTTCCCCCAAACTGGGATACATGAGGACGAGATATTCCTGGAAGAATTCGAAGACCATTTAAGGGCAAGTGAAAAGATACCATATAAACAAACGATATCAGAAAGGAAAAGGAGTTGTAACTGAATATAAGTGTTTTTCATGTTTGCACTGGGTAGGAAAGCGTTTTATGTATAAATTCGCCTTCCGAACAGGCAAAACCCCTCAATCAAACCCATGTCTATAATCACAGACAGGCACATATCCCAAGACACAACACCTCAAACAGCCCAAGAGCCGACAAGAGAAGAAGGAGACAACCTACGGCTTTTTGGATTCATCCAAATAATAGATCATCTGCCGCCCTCGTGAGGACACCAACTAACCCTCCACCTTCTCCTCTTGGATTTTCCCCTACAGTGAGAGGAGCAACGTCCACACCTTCATTTTCCTTGTCACCGTCATGGCCGTGGCCTTTGCCGTTACCTCGTCCACCCCCTCCGTGTCCGCCGCCATTTCCGCCGCCATTTCCACCACCGCCTCCATTAGGAGCATCGGCCGGAGGGGAGGGGTTGGGTGGCTCTTGGTCACCCGGTGGCGGTGGTGCTGGCTCTCTTGGGGGAGTCTCAGTTGGAGCTGCCTGGGGAGGCGGTGGAGGCGGTGCAGATCCTCTTGAAGGCGCCTCTGTTGGTGTTCCCTGGGAAGGCGGAGCAGGTGGGGCATGTTCTTTTGGAGTCGTCTCAGTCGGTGCTGCGTGTGCGGGCGGCGGTTGCGCCGGCTGGGCTGAAGTAGAGGTTTCTCCTAGTATCGGTTCCGGAGAATATATGGGGTTGCAAGCCGTAATGTATACTGTGGTTGTCACCATATGTCCTTCTTTCACGCTTCCGGGTTGTTCCTGCTGAAGCTGCTGTTGCTGAGGTGGTTGTTGCTGGCTTTTGGGGTTTATTTCAGGTGCCGTTGGTGCAGGCGCAGGCGCAGGAGCAGGCGCCGGGGTAGAGTTGATCGACGGTATGACCACTGTCGACACAAAAGTCTTTGTGAGATGGATGGTGGTGGTTGTGTCGGTGGTCTGAGGAGACAATTCTGTGACCTGTGGTGTTATAGTGCTCAGGACGGGGTTTATAATTGGGTTTATATCTACGTTGATACCAGGTAATTTGAGCCAAGGAAGTGGAAGAGACCAGGGAAGCGAAAATGGAAATGGAGATAGAGCGCTCGTTTTGGCTGGGGAATCCTGTCTATTGTTGGCACCTATGTTTTCGGTTGCAGGAGTAGGGGTATTTGCCTTTTCCGCTCGCGTAGCCGGAGCCTGTGTAATGGGATTGGGCGGTGCGATTTCAGACGACACAGCTGTAAGAGACATGATGGCGGGAAGCGTGAAAGCATCCCCTCGATCAGGCGGATTAGAAGGTGGGAGAGAAGGGGAGATGGGAGGCGGTGGGGGAGGAGCAGATGCAGGAGGCGGAGGTGGAGGAGGAAGTTGGGGAAGAGGAGCAGATGAGGGAGGCGGAGGCGGAGGCGGCGGGGGAGGAGGGGAGGAAGAAGTATGCGGAGGTTGTCGAGTAACTATCACAATTTGTGTGCTGGTAATCCCATTTGCGCCCAAATTGGTTGGAGCGGTTGGCAGGTCTATACTAGGAATAGTAGGGTTCGCGGATGGTGGAGTTTCCACAGTCGAGCAAATGGTCGTTGAGACACTTTGGTCATTTATGACCACGCAGGCCTCATTGTACATGGCTAGTCTTTGCGACGACATCACTGACATCGAAGTAGAAAGCACGTCCCTGACGAGGAACAGGTGATACGGCAGCTTTACCGCGAAAGAGCACTTATTGCATTCGCAGCATTCGCAG